AGTAAAAATGCAGTTTTATTGTGTTTATCAATACCTATCGAAATGTAGAAGAAATTTTTCAAATCGGACCATTCGTTAAAAAGTTATGCGTGATCAAAGCTTCTATCTCCATCTCCCTCGCACTCCCTTTACCTGAGTAACGGGTATCTGATAGTCGGGGCACCCGACTATAGCGTTCTCTCTTGTTTTTAACTCAATTTGGTTTATATTAATCATAAATCATAATCGAAATCATGCACAACATAAGTGATTGAAACATTCATATTTATTTAGTTTATGATTGCTTAAAACCATGCATTAAATTAAGACTCCTGAAAATAATTAGATCTTGATTTTGTGTTGGTTTCGGATTTACTTGACTTAATTATAAATTAAATCAGATTTTTAATTGCATTTGCTTTTGGGCAGTTTTGTTTGAGCAATTATTTAGCTTTAATGCTTAATTAATATTGTATCAGTTATGGTAAATACTGCAATATGGTAAATAGCAAAACTATTACTGTTTAATTTTAAAATGTGCATATATTCATATTAAATGTCTTTTAATAATACTTAAAAACCCAAGCTCGACGATTTGAATGAGCAATAAATCAGAATTAAATCAAAGTTATAGAGCAATTAAATGCAAGTGTTCCAAATGTATTCGTTTTTATTTATTGACAGTCTATCTTGAACATTTTGAAAAGGCAGGTTAATTTGTTTATGTTATGTATTAGGGGCATTTTGATTTTCATAGTCAATTTGAAAGTTTAATATATTATTATAGATGCTAAATCTAAAAGTTCCATAAATGTGAAAGTATTTTTGTGGAGATTGTCTTGCTATTATTCTGATATACTTCGATATTAACTCCCACAGAAAACATTTATCAAGGACTGCATAAAAAAATTAAATCTTCACATTGTCCATTCAAGTAAACTGTTTTGCATTCGAGAACCTTTGGCCAAATCCCTACCATAGCCGTTCAATTTGAATGGGAAGTCTTTAAGCCAAGCGGCTTAAGCATTTAATCAGTTAATTGTTGGCGACGGCGATACGCATGGGTGTGATTTTTTAATTAACAGCGCCATTTACACAGTATTACCATTCCAGGACGGCCCCGCACACACACACACACACACACATATACGCCCAGACACGCACACATGCGAAAGTTGGAATGCCGGAGAAACAAGAGCAAAAGTACAAAAATTGCCGTTATCACGCCACAATAACCTCAAAATTTATTCACTTTATTGATAATGCAATAAATCGCAGCCGAGTGGCCAGTGCAAGTGTGTGGGTGCATGAATGAGTGTACTCGTATGGGTGTGTGCATCTGGATCTGCATCTGGGTGTTCATGTGTGTGCGTGTGTGTGTGTGTTGGGGCCTCTCTGTGAACTGGCAATTTTTTCGTAGCATATTTTCGGGCTGGCGCATATTTTTCATGTTTGCATATTTCATTTCAATTTTATTTCTTGCTGCACCCTCACACACACGTACGCGTGTGTATTTACAGCCAGTGTAAAATATGCCATGAAAATCAACAAAAATTCGCACACAGAGCACACGTGAGTTGTTCCCTGCCGTCTCTTTCTGCGCCCAATATCCTCCTCTCTTTTCCGTACTCTGCATTGCAATTGTATCTCGATTCGACTGTTTTTGTCTTTAGAAATGTTATGGGAACAGGACATTTCGGTGGGCGGCGCTCGATAAAGGACCACCCGCCACAAAGGACAGCTTCAATATTTACGTTTCATTTCATGAGCCTCCATATTGGCGGCAATGTGTTGATAAGACAACAACAGCTCCACGAGAAAGAGAGGGGTAGAGTGGCGGGGAAAGAGACAGCCTGCACGGTAAAAATATCATCAAAATGGGTCATCAATTCTTGACGTTTTTATAACAGAAAGAATGTTGTAAATATTTCTACTACATTTGTTTTTAATTGTTAGAGATTTCAAATTGCTAGATGGGCAGTCCAAAAATGTGCATTGAAATATTTAAAGGCAATATTTTTTCTTCTAACTCTATTTCATTGAACTGTTGATGGAATCCAATTTGAATTGATTTTGTATTTGCAAATGCTGTTTTAGACAATTTGGATGCTGTTTTAGACAATTTGGAAAGTAATTTCAAATCACTAGAATGTAATATCAAATACCAAAGGCTCATTTCCTGTATGGAATATAAAATAACTTACATTATATGGCTATTACTTTTTATTAAACGATTTTTGTTCATACAGTCCATCTCTCATTATAAGCTATAGAGGGTACAATAAAAGCTAAACAAAAATAGTAGAAATGACAGTATACTCAACTTTATTCATTTTGTGACGAATGGAATTAGAGCAATGCAAATTACAATTTACATATATTTATACCCGTTACTCGTAGAGTAAAAGGGTATATTGTATTCGTGCAAAAGTATGTAACAGCTAGAAGGAAGCGTTTCCGACCCTATAAAGTATATATATTTTTGATCAGGGTCACTAGCCGAGTCGATATAGCCATGTCCGTCTGTCCGTCTGTCCGTCTGTCTGTCCGTCTGTCCGTCTGTCTGTCCGTCTGTCTGTCCGTATGAACGCTGAGATCTCGGAAACTATAAAAGCTAGAAGATTGGCATTTTGCATGCAGATTCTAGGAGTTCCTACGCAGCGCAAGTTTGTTTCAAAAAGGTGCCACGCCCCCTTTAACGCCCACAATCGCTTGTATACGATTTTAAAAATTTAAATATTTCGGAAAAGTAAAAATGCAGTTTTATTGTGTTTATCAATACCTATCGAAATGTAGAAGAAATTTTTTAAATCGAACCATTCGTTAAAAAGTTATGCGTGATCAAAGTTTCTATCTCCATCTCCCTCGCACTCCCTTTACCTGAGTAACGGGTATCTGATAGTCGGGGCACCCGACTATAGCGTTCTCTCTTGTTTTTATTTCAGTTGTGAGCTACCAAAGAAGAAGTATCTTAAACCACCTTTTAGAACATAGTACTTTAGCTTTCATTATAAAAAAAATAAGGTTGACCTTTTCAAAGCCAACATACGGACTTATTTTTACCCTACTAAGACTCGCATTTTCTCTCAGTGCACCTTACATGGTCCGTTACAATTTCCATTTGCACTTTCGCGAGCCAAAAACTGCAGCTCTCTGTAAACCACTTTGGTATGCATTTTCACACCCCTGTTGACCATGACAAATTGGCTTGCATTCGTGTGTCCGAGTTTTCCCTTTTTGCTTATTAGCCATCAATGCGAATTGGCTTTAAGCGCTTTAAGCCCGAATCGAGGCGGCATCTTATCTTGGTCAACTGGTCGTCCCAGCTGCACGCTATTCGCACTTCCGGTTACACTCCATTTAGGGCACCATATTGCCGGGTGTTGGTGTTGGCACTTTTGCGCATATTTTGCAAAATCATTACTTAAACACACAGACACGCCGTGCGAAAGAGAGAGAACGAGGGACTGGCCAGTCCAGTGGAACGCTATCCCTTTCCTTCTGTTTTGTTTTTCCTGGTTTTTCCTCGCTCGCTCCTTCGCCTCGGCCTTCTCCTTTCGCCTCGCTTGCTTTTGGGGGGTTTTAAAATGCATTTTCGTTATTTTCACTGCAGCTGCGACGCGTTGCCAGTTGCTGGCTGTCGTCGATCTTTTGCCACTCACAGCATTTAGCCTTAGCCACCCTGGGAGCCGCTGGCCAACCTCTTTCTACCAACCACCCACAACCCACCACCTGCAGTTTAGTTTGGCGTTAATTTATGAGCAACATTTAGCAGTTTGTACCTGGGAAAGCCGCTGCAAGCCATTCCAGGGGAACTTTGCTTTATGGCTTGTTGTTTGCCACCCACAAAAAAAATGTTACGGGTACAAATTAATAAATGCACAACGAAGCTTGGATGCCCTGGGAAGTTTTGTTAAGGAGATTGTACATTCATAATATTAAATTACTTTCCTGACAAGCTTGGTTAATTTAATGTTATATATTTATGGCCAATGTTAAAAAAATTATATAAATCTTTAAGTCAAAATATTCTAAGACACAGATTACAATTAACAAAAAACAATTTACAATTAAACGTTGAAGTTGGCATTAAAATTAAACAGTCTGTGAGTCTTTGGCAATTTTATTTCCATTATTTTAATAATCATTGATCATTGTTAGGTTATCATACAATTTGGTTGTTATTAAGTACAAGTATATAAACAAGTTCTTAAGTTTTGGCACCCATTTTTCAAGTGGCTTACTCATAAATACACATATAGCTTGATTTTCTCTTGAATACCTACGTATTTATTTATTTATTTATTACTCCCGCTCTTTCCGGGTAACCATTTGGTATGAGAAACTCTGGGCTTGTTAGGGAACTTCTCACCTGGACCCCACTTAATAGGGCTACCCACAGCAGGTGCGAGGACGCTAATCCAGCCATAAAGAGACTCCCCCGAACCAATCACCAATATTGACCGTTGGGATTGGGCATGTGCCTGATTGGCTTATTTTACAATTTACACCGCGCTGGATTGGAGTGGGTGGGCGAGAGTGATTCTCGGAGCCGGCGCTGCCAAATGAGCCATGATCGCTGGAAGAATGCGCTGGCCGTCAATTAGCGGGCTTCCAAATCTAGCACCTTGTCGAAGTGAAAGGCCGCAGGGAAAAGAGGGGACGGTGCTGTGGGTTTCCGACTCGATTCGCTTCCCAGCTCTCAAAGCTGCCAATGGCGCATTTTATACATTTCTATTTGCTTGCCACTGTTCTCTCTTACGGCATTATAGCTATTTAAGGGGTATTGGCACCCCATCGGGCCTCGGAGCTCTTGACTTTAATCACACTAATTACGCAACTAAAAGGATAATCGTGTCGCTGACCGCACAAGCTCCTTAATGCGTTTGTCCAACTTTTTGCGAGTGCGTTTGATTGTGTGTGTTTTAGTTACCCCACCCCCAAAATTCTCATAATCCCCTTGATTTGACAAGCTCATTAACTGAATACCAAAACACAGGCTTAAATACATTCGAGTTTATTAAATCTTAGGCAAGAAACTATCCAAACTTATTAGAGAATATAAGAGCGTTTAAAGGAGCGAGTTCCTCAGGCGGTAGGTCATACTGAAGCCCGTCTCCACGTCCGGATTCAAGGTGAGCTCATCGCTGGAGAAGTGCATTAAATAGGGCGGCGAGGCTGCAATATGGAAGCCACACATCAAGTGGTTTTCAACGGGAAATTCCATCCCCCCACTCCCACTCCCACTCCCAATTCCAATTGTAACCACTCACCATAGACCAGCAGGTTGTTGTTGGTGCCGCAGTAGTAGGTGGGCTGGTAGGCCATGTTCTTGGCCAGAATGCCCTGCGGTATCATCAAATAGTCCTCCTGCCTTCCAGCTGTGTGGACAGTGGCGTGGCAGAACTCGTCGTACCCCTCCCCCGTCTCCGACTGCACCGACATCGAGAACTTGCTGAAGGAGTACCTGTTAAGTGGATGGTTGGCTTTTCATTAATACACATAGCACATTAAGGGTTAATTTTACAATTCAATCTCAACTTAATCACCGATTGGTCTGAGTATGTCAAAATATGATCACAGAAAGGTGGTTCCCATTTCAGCAAAAATTTAAAAAAATAATAGCAGTCGCAAGAACAAGGAATTTTAGAACTTACAAAACTCATTTCAATAAGTTTATACTTAATCCAAAACTGGCAATTGAAATTGAATTCAATTACTTTAAAAGATTAGTTTATTTAAATTTGCCAAGCATTCAAAATGAAAGTTTGCAGACTAATAGAAAACTTTATCCTTTCGAAATATTTGTAATGTCAGCACTTCAGGGACCTGCTTAGAAAAACTTTCTAATACACAATTTGAAATAGTTAAAATAAAATATTTTTAGCACAGGGTCTATATACGTTTATAGTGAAGACTATACTTATTAATATCTCTTTGAGTAAGAAATACAGAAAAAATAAACTTCCACTTAAAATCATTTTTTAAAACTTTATAGAAATAGCGAACTTTGAAGTATGTTTAAGCTGGTGATCCTTAAAGTTGCTAATTTACAACATTTATCACTCTAACAAGTAAGCACTCGACTTTATAAGCCAATTTTCTCCATTGACAACACTAAAGAATAAACAGCTCTGTAATTTTCCAAACATAAGGTTTTTATGGATTCGGTTAAAGCTAAAAATACTTTACTCACTCAATCATGCTGGCGCTGCCCGCAGACTTGATGCAGATGTTGTAGCTCAGATCGGGCATATAGTTGCTGGTGCCTGAAGACTGGAAGTTGAAGCTGCGAATGGTGCCAGTTAGATCGGTGTAGTACTGCTGGCAGCCCGACGGAGCCAGTAGCTCGTAGTCGGCGTGATGGGAGGCGAAGATGTCGCGCAGATCCTGCAGGGAATTGGTGGAGCTTCCTAGAGCGGCAGAAGTGCTGGAACGCCGTTTGGTGTTCATCGGTGGCCCCTCCAGCTGGGTTACAATTAGCCTCCAAACGGGCGCAGTTCCCCTGGTGGTCACCGCAAACGTGAGGGTCACCTGATCCACACCCGCAGCCGCATTGAAGGGCAAGTACAGGTGCTGGCCATCGTTCACGCCACACAACTTGAAGCCACCCGCCTCGAAATAGTCCTGGCACTCCAGGACTCCGTCCGTTTCCGTGGGCTGTTGCATCACGAACTGCTCGAAGTCGATGCGCAACTGCTGCACATTGCTGCTGAAAGCCTCGATGGTGTAGGTATTCAAATCGCTGGACAAAGTGCCAGGATTCCTGATAATCGTTCTCTTCTGGCGCGTAGAGGAGCCCACTTGAATGTTAGCTAGAGAAGTGGTAAAATGATTAGTTTATTAACAGATCAAACTTATTTGTTTATTAATAGGGGAATAATAAGTTCTTCCAGCTAAGAATTAAATTTTTTGTATACATTTAGTTTCGTTTTAACGCCTTTATGGTAAACTTAAAATAGCTTTTAAATATTAAACGGAATTGATGAATTGGTTCACAAATTTTGCACAACTTTAAATAAATATTTTTTTCACTAAGCGCTAAAATGTACCTTTAAAATTAAATATAATTTTATATTCGAACAATGTTCTTAAAAAATTAATTAATCCTTTTTCGATTTTCTCTTTTCATGTAAAACCATATTTTATTGGTATTCTTCACTTTTATTACATGAAATAAAAGAATTTCAATTTAATCAAACGAATAATTTAAGCATTAATTTTTTTAGCTAAAGACCTTAACTCATTGAAGGACATAGTTATGAAACGGAAAATAACCGAACTTATTTTGGGAAGAGTAATTATTGACCCACTTTTCCTTTTTATCACTTTCTTTGACTCACTTTCACAGCAGACGCCGTAGGTGCCACAATATCCATTGACGGTGCCCGATTGCCGCATGCACTTGAAGCGGGTGAGGCAGGTGCCGGTGGTGCCGCTGTTGGTGAGGCAGCTGTCCGCCAGGACACTCCTCCTTCTGCCTTGGCGCCAAAGGCCAGGCTCCTGACCAACAACTCCACTTGTGTCATTCAGCATTTGCGCCTGCGCAAAGGCCAGAAATGCCAGGAACAGCAGCGTATATCCAATCATAATCCTCGGTTTTAGTCAGCTTCTTCACTCTTCTTCACCCACGCACTTTCACATCGACTGTGTGGATCTTTTGGGGGTCGCACCGCTTTTATAGCACTTCTTGGGCCGAAGAATCCGAAAGATACATCGGCGCTGGCAGCGATGCGGTGATGAGATTTTCGTGTTAGAAGCAATAGTGTGTCAATATTTGGTAGAAGCTCAGTTGGTTCGTCACTTACCGGAATGAATATTCAAGCCGAGCTAGTTGCGCCTATTAACTTGTTTGCCCAACGCCGCTCGATCAAGTCATTGAACCTCGACGAAGTGTCCATTACTCTGATCTTAGATCCGACAAAACTGGGTTATGTTTGCTCAAATTTTGGGTGTCGCGAAGCATGCTGGCTGGCTATCTCATTATCATCGCCATAAATGAAGATGACGATCGATAGTAGCGATGATGATGATGATGTCAAAAAGTGAAAAGAGGCAACAAACACTGGGTGGGTGTGTGAAAATGACAAGACCCCAATTAGAATCGAATTGCACAACACGGGTTGGGCAACCAACCACTTCGATAAATGCAGCCCCAGCGAGGAGTTCTTTCTTTAAAGTGAATGTGGTTTAAAAAAGCACAATGTCATTCAACTGATTTCGGTCAAGATAGTCGCATTCTTACTGATAAAAGAGCTGTCAAAAGCCTGCACATCACACTTATCGCTAATCGCAGGGGTTTGTTAGGACTAATTTAGAATTAGACTTGTTTTGATTTTGAATTCTTGCAGGAGACTTTGGTCGCGATAAAAAATAAAGAATTATGTTAGGCTATAAATAAATTTAATAGAATGTCCATAAAAGGCAAAATTAGTTTATTAAAGCGACATTTGTATATTGAAAAATTGCAAGAATTAATTCAATATAAACTATATGACACCTTATTAAATACCTTTTTTACTTGGGTTATATAGTATTTCGTACAAATAGGTACTCGTTATATTCAGTTAGTATAATAGTTTAACTTTAAGGCTAGCATTTATTTTATTGTTAAACATAATAAAATAAATTGTGAAAAAAATGTTTTAAATAAATGAGTAATTTCCTCAGACATTTTATTAAAAAGCAATTAAATGTTATATATTATTAAATATAGTAATCCTTTTTTTGTTTTAATTATTTGCCTTTATGGTTGTAATAAGAAATTTAATCTATCATTAGACATTTTGTATGCTAGAATTTGCCTCTAAAATCTAAAAAAAAAATTTCGTATAAAAAAAAACCCATTTAGATCACAAAAACCTTACAAATTTGGTAACTTTTTCCCACAGATAGAGCAGTTAGAATGCCTACCCCCTAGTTAAGTTTTCAAATGTTTGCGATTCTGTCATTAGACTGCAGGTGCCCCCTTGGGCCAAACAGAGCGATAAAACCAATCGATCATGATAGCTAACACCCGGACAATTGGACGCGAATTGAGGGAAAAATCAGATAGCCGTCGGCCATAAAAAGCCAACGGCCCACTGTTTTGTAGACTCAGAACGATGAGGAACTACATAGCAAGCAGCCTGCTCCTTTTGGTGGCCTTTTCGGCCATTGAAGCCGCCTCGGTGGCCAAGCCCGTTTGTGGAGGCACTAGCTCCTCGAAGAACATCAACCTGGTGAATCCGACGAATCCCCCGCGGCAGTGCGAATACCATGTGACCCAGTACAGCAAGTACGTCTGCCAGTTGCGCATTGAGTGGGCCATGACCTTGGCCCAACCCACGTTGGAATCCGAAGGATCGGGCCTGACCTATGCCGAGTGCACCAAGGATTATTTCGAGGTCGGTGGACTGAAACTGTGCGGCACTGAAGTGTGGCAGCACATCTATGTGCCGTTGAATGCCACTGGTGGCGAGTCCGTTGTGGATCTGGTCTTTTCCCTGGCCGATCGTGCCGGTGCCTCTGGATTGCCCACTGCCTCCTGGGACGTGACCATCACCCAGCTGGAGTGCCCTGCCGGAGCCTCTGTGCGCTCACTGGACTTGGTTGAGGAGGAGTCCACCATCGAGGGTCGTGCCAGCACCATCAAGGATGGCTTCTTTGTGGCCCCGCCCGGCTGTCTTCAATACTTCCCCCAGACCAAGGGTTCGGTCAAGTCCTTCAACTACAACAACGGCAATGGTATCTATCCATCCCGCATGAACTACGCCATCTGCTTCCGTCGCACTACTGAAACTAAGGCGCTCACGTAAGTAGATGACTTTGTTCTTTATCCGATAAGTACTATTTCATAATCTATCATATTCTACACAGCATTCGCGCCTATGACTTCAACGTTGGCGACGTGGTTTCGGCCAGTACTTTGACGACCGATGAGAATTGCTACAGCAGCGATAGCACCAACGATCTGGATGCCGATTTCCTGATGGTGCCTCAGGCAACCTTCGAGGAAAGCCACAAGCACGCCACCTACTTCTGTGGCTCCATCAAGAAGGATGTGGTCATATCGAGTAAGTTTGACACAGCTTTTCTGGGTGGTAAAGCTCAGTTAACACTGACCAACAAATTTCTAGAAATTTAAGGGAAAAGTTTATATGTCTATATTGAATTCCATTTATTTATATAACTAGCCATTACCAAATTTTAACTTTGGTTAACTTTCCGTTGATGAAGTTTGCTATATACATACCATATTTCCAATATGATATATATTTTTGAAAGACCATGCATGTTCTTTTTTTTTAAAAAAAAGAAAAGCTTAATAACTTTGTCGAAAGCTAAACAGTTTTCCACAAAGAATTTACACTTATAATAATCAGTCTTCTTTCTAAACACAACAACTCGAAAACATTATATTTTGATATGTATTTATTTTTGTTTAATTTATACCATTTGGAAATGTTACTTTCAAATTGTATTATTTTCTTAACTTAACAAGAAAGTATAAAAACCTAACCTAGTTTTAGTTCTCTATATACTTTTAACTTTCTAACTTTAAAATCATTCTCTTATTCAGGCAACAATCCCGGTCCTTTGATGGTTCTTTTCAACAGCGACGACATCTACAGGCAGAATGAGGCTGGTTTTGCTTTCACCTACGTTGTGTCCTAAGCTGTTAAAAATTCTTTGATAATGTAAACTAAACAAAGAAATTGGCATTAAAATGAGCTTTAAAAGAAAGATTTGCGGAATGTTTGCCCAAGCATTAGCGGCTAGCAATCAAAGAGATCCGCTCGGGGAACTGATTTGGCACACACAATCGTATGGGACTTTTCGGCTTTCATTTTCTATTCCCAGCACTTGCCCTATCAATTACAGATAGTTGTGGACTTATCAGAACAGCGGTGGTGTCAACATTTGTCTGTGACAATTACCAGACAAGCGATATATTATCTCAAGAGGCCAGGCTATCTGGATGAACAAACAGTGTGTGGGACAATCTATCAAGTGGTTCACATATTTATCAGATTCCAATCTTGGCTAAACTTTATCTAAACGCCTGCAAGTTTTTGCAGGTGAATCGACACCACTTCAAAGCCATCTATCATGTTAAAAATTGTTAGCATTTCAAACTTCTAGAATTTGTGAACGTAATTTGAAAATGTATATAGTATATATTTTATAAAATATAGTTATTTATTATACATAAATTGAGACATGTTATCAATAAAATTTATGGAAGAATATCTATAAATAGTAAATAATAAGATCTAATGGTTTTCAATATAAAGCTAAGAACCAAGTCCTTAAAGCTTTCAATTTAACATCCTGATAGCTTTGACGAACTTTCTAAAAGCTCTTTGAGACTTTTCAGGCTTTAAAAGGATTGAATAATAAGGAAAGTATTTCAGATAAGCAAAGACAGAACCCAAACTTAGTATCTTTAATAATATATTGGGATGCTTTTCATAAACTTTTATAACTTTAGACTATCAACAAGTGTTTACAAAAAGTTGACTCTGAAGCCGATCCCCCTTTTTTTTGAAAATATTTACCACTGATAGTCTAAATTAGGATTAGAATTCGGCTGATGTTAATAGCGATTATTAACCACAGTTTTATGAGCGGCGCCAATTTATGATTATCATGGGCGGCACAGTTCAATAAGCCTCGTTTGAATTTGAAATAATGGAAGCATTTCTGCTTATCAGCCTCTTCAAAGGCAGCGCAACAAGTTGCGAGCAACAAAAAGTGCCCGGTGCCCAATCTGGCGGTGGAAAGCTCTTATAAAGCTCGGAAAACCTCTTTCTTGGGCACCACTGCACTATGGTCAGAAAGTCGCTGAAATTAAAGACTGTTTCGGAAAACCTCTAACAACTTATTTAATTTGGAATCTGAACAAGTAATGTTTCAGGTTTTATAGTTATGTCTTAGTAAAAAGAACGTTTCAACATATGTCTGAATAAAAAATAGTATTGAACACAATTAAGTTAAAAGAGCGATCCAATATAATATAGGTCTTAGTTGAAAAATTATTTTATTTATAAGATTTATGGATGAAAAAATTATTTTTACGGCACAACTGTGTGAAATGGCAAAACTATACTTGATGAAAACTAGTTATTTTTTCGGAAATGCAAATTTGGACTATTTACCCACAGTGCAGTGATAAGAAGCCGAGTTAACTCGAGCAAGTCGCAATGTTGCTGATGGGTCGTCACGGCAGCAACAGCAACATGACCGCCGGCAACATTGTTGCAGCAGCCACGCCGGCTGCGAGCTGTGTGGCATGCGGATTTCAGTTGTCGTCCAACTGCCGCGTATTCGGAACGCTCCTCGCGCATCCGAGCCGGTTCCAAAACAAAAGAAAAACGATTTTCCAAGCCATTTTCGAAACGTGTGCGCGAATCGCTCATTAAACCCAAATGGGTGTACAATAAAAAGTTTTAGCCCCAGCCATTGAAAAGTGTGTGCTCTACTTATTCTTTTATTATTTTGTCGAAGCCATTGTCATCGGTTTCCGCGTGGGGGAGTCAAGCGGAGTGGAGTGCCCGAGTGTGTCGCTTAAAGGCCAATTCAAGTGGCTGGCATTTAATCAAGTCAAGTCCCAGTCTCCGACGCCGCCGGTGTCACAAAAGAGAGCCGGAGTCCTTGGCATATCTTGGCTTTCCCCAGCCGTCGCACCCCGCGCACATTCACCAAATTCCCAGTGAAAACATAGCCATAAATTAACAACTAATTCAATTAACTGCCGACAACGTCAACGAGCACCGCTTGGCTGCAGCGGAATCCTGGGCTGGGACCAAAGCCAGGAAAAGTCGGGAGCCGAGCACTGCATCGCCGCAGGATATGCGGCGGGCTGCCTAGGAGGAATTCCTTGTGCGAGCCTCCTCCTTCACGGTAAGCCCCCTCACAATGGGCAAATATTTCAAAACGCACACATGCCGTCGCCACTGGGAGCCGGAAATTGTGAGGCCTGCGTTTTGGCATACACTTTCAGGGGTTTTTATCTCTTTACATTTACCATACATTGTGTACCAAACCATTGGACAATTTTATAATATAAACTACAGAAGCTGAATACTTTTGGGCACCGCTCCTCAAAAAATCTAAAACGTCTAAATATCTTTACCCAACAATTAAGCCATTTGGGCAGTATTGTTACTTTCTAAGAGGCTAAATTAAAAGTTAAAACAGGATTTTTAAATTTGCGATAAAACTAAATGCATTAGTTTTGGTTACCTTTTATGAAGAAGACGCAATTTATACAGTCTAAATATGAAATTAATACTACTTATCGGTATTATTTGAAAGTGAAATTGATCATTTACCTGCAAGAAAAATGAATTTAAGTAGACCTAATAAATTCACCAATTTCGGAAATAAAACCAAAAAAAAAATGATGAAATTATTTTCAAGTGAACTCAAATGACCAAATGTATTGAAGAAATTTTTTAAAAGCCGACCATTTTTCATTTATTTTGTTGGTTTTCAAAGAAATAGTTTTTCTGCATTGTCAAGAAAACAAACCGAGAATAATATGTGAAAGTGAAAATCAGAACTGTGCATTTGACTCTTTTGTTATACTTATGTATTGAGAACTTGGCCTACGGAATGATTGAAATATTTAAGATAAGCTCCCAATGGATGGCCATTATGCAAATGCCTGATTGGGGAAATAGCGCTCAAAGGATTTTGTTTGGGACCATCTATTCAAATTGTGAATTGGCTTTTGTTTGGCCGTCGAATCTCGGGTAGCAGCTGCATAAATCAATGGAGCAGCATTTCTCTTCATTCGTTTGATTTTTGATTTCCAGCTTCATGCTGACGCACGTTGTAAAGCCATAAATCTTGCGATCTGGCCGAAATGTCTTTAATTGTTGAGCGTACGGTTGGAAATCGGCAATCGGCAATCTGCAATCGACGATGATTTCACAGCACGACGCGACACTATCATTATTGTGCGATGATCATGATATATCTGCCGTCATTTGTCACTGTTACAAGTTGAGCCTGGCGGCCCAAAGCAAACAATTTGCCACCGGCTAAATTCGCTATTTGCTGTTAGCCATTTGCCATTAGCCATTTACGTGGCGCCCGGACTGCAGCGTAGATGTCATAGATACTGGGCCAAGATACATGGGCTTATATACGATAGAACCGCGGTGGCGTGGGTTTGCATTAGTCTCTACTCTAAACAATAAATTCTGAGGAAAACGTTATCTCTTAGCCGGGAATATTGCAGCGAATATTTTGGACCAGAAAATGCATTTAGAAATGTATATTACTCTTTATTTGGTTTTTGTTTTTTGTTTTTTCGTTAGTTTGTTTATGTCCACGTGAACGGAATGCAGTGGCTAATGAGTAAATATTGTCAGAGATAATATACGATTGCAAAGTAGTCTGCTGCGAGCTTCCAGTGAATGGATGACTCTCAAGAGATATAAATCACTGCTCTTGAGCAAGTTATTCAGGAAGTATATTTTCTACTGGAGCAAATAGAAAACAGATAAGGCAAGTAGTAATGACTCTTAATTACTCTAAATGATATTTAGATACCACAAACAATGCATTTGCTACTACAAAAGTTGCAAGCACATCATAAAAACAAAAAATTAAAGCAATTAAAAACGCATTTATTACTATAACAAATGTATAAAAAATATAATCGAAGGAATTTAAAATTATTTTTATATCGAAAGAATGTTGATCAAAAAGTCTGGAAAGCTTCATAACATATGAATATATATATATTCGTATACCATTCTAAATATAGATTACCAATCTGTTTAAAACATTAACATTCCTATGCCTAATAAAAAACCGATTTAGACCAAATGATTTACTTAATGTTTTTGAAGACTTTACCACTTTGCCATTATAAGTTGTATTATGCTGTTTATCTAGTCAACGATTTTATGGTATTTCTTTCTCTTTAATAAAAGCGATTTAAGAATGATTCATGTGATGATTTTGTTCATGTAAACAAAATCGAAATCAACTTTTGGCAAGGCTCTCAGCTCCCCCAAATATTGGCCAATTGCAATTTCCCTATTTGTTATCAATTTCCCATCATTTGTGGCTTTGGCCCATTGATTGATACATCCTATTTAGCCGGCTGCCAAATTAATTTGCTGACCAACAATTTCAACAGCGTGGTTACATAACAGGCAGTCGGATATGGATTTGGGCCTCATCAGTGTTTATTGTATTAAGAATTTTTCAAATTAATTGCAATTTTTAGCTATTTTGGGTTCACCAAGCACTGAAATCGCAATTTTCCAACACACGAGTTTTCTCGACAGCAACGAAACAAGCCAAAAAAAAAAAAAAACCGGACAGGTCTAAACAATAACAAAATGCTGGCGCTGATTGAACTGCTCAGTGCACAATTTCAATCAATTTTTCAATTAATTTTCATTACCCCGCGTGCGGCCAGTTGCGAAGTGGGCACGATGATCAAACGACGACGAGATCGCACTCGCACTCGCACGGCCAACGGTCATTGTTAAGGCCAAACTGTCCGCAGGCAAATGCAGGAAAATTAAAACAAATGGTTATGGGACTCCATAAAGCATTACAATGCAGGAACATCGCGGCGACGTGACTCACACAGCAAGTGTGGGCCAAAACAAACAAACTACACAAGTTATGCGACCGCCGCTTACATGGCCCAGTGTGTGCGGGCCAAAACAACTTGTTCTTGGTCTCAGGGAATCTCAAGCTGGAGCTGAAGCTAGAGCTATAGCCTTAAAAGGCAGCAGCCCAGCTTGCAGCTTCCCTGGCAGAAAAAGTTGTTAATTGGAATTTAACAATCTCTAAAAGCGTCTAATGGAAGAGATGCGTGCTCTGCGCCTTGGCCGACTGACAAATCCATGGGATTGCCCCACTGTGCGCGGCTACCAGTTTACCCACTCTGCAAATTTATCTGCCGGCAAATGTAGAAATTAAGTTTCGCCTGGCCAGATGGATCCCGGCCCATGGACTGTCAGTATCGTTTACGTGCCGCAGTCAGGCAAAAACAATCAACATCAACTTATTTGTCTGCTGGCTAAACATCTCAAAAGCGGCCAGCAGCGGAGCAGCATCTGCTGATGCCAGATAGCCAGATAGTTCAGTCGAGTTGAGTCGAGTCGAGTCGAGGCCTCGTTGTCATGACCATTCCTGGGTCCCCGGCTGCAAGGAAGAATCGTGATTTTCCCCCACACACTGCCGCAAAAAATGGCATCTCAATTGGGCAGTTAACGTTTTTTATTAGCCACTATTTATTCCTCATTTAATTTAATTCTTTTTCACACATATCTAAGGAAATACAAGTTACTACTATCGCCACACTTTTGGTTATCATATTAACTAAAGTCGTTTTTTTAACAAGTATCAATATCACTAAAATCCATTACTGCAGATTATAAGAGATGTAAAATGTTCAAATTAATACAAATTTTTTTAAAGGGGTTTTATTGGGAACATTAAGAAAAAGTGCTTTATTTATTAAGAAAACAAAGTCAAGAAAAGCTAATCAAAATTTAAATGATTATATCATGCATTCCAAAATCAAAAATTATAACCCTTTAGTTATTTAATTTTGGCAAGAGTACAATTTAAGCCCTCATTTTATGTGGCACTTTATTTATTAGTAGAATTAACGATTAGTTGAAAATGGGATAAAGTAAATTCTTGCAATTCTTTCCACCATAAGTCGTTAGTAAAAGGAACACAAACTTTTCCCCAGTGCACTGAGATAAGGCTAGGCTTGCATTCTTGCGCCGGCATTTAGTCGTGGGCCCGTAACAAAGATCGTTAGCCGAAGGAATTATTGGAGCAGCTTTTCCAGCGGCTTTAGCCAGTCGCAGTTCGAGTGGGGAAAATAGTTTCTCTGTGAGAGGCCCCTGCCCCGATTCCTGCTGATGACAGGCCGGTGTTTTTTGGCCCACCTGCTGGCTTTTGGCTGCTCCCTCTGGTTCCTCTGATCCCTCTGCCTTCCCTGCTCCTTCTGCCGGTGACAGTTCACGTCACCACAGAGTCACCAGCTGGCAGAAGCTCCTTTGTGCCGCTGTCGGCGCTAATGAAGCATCACACACATCTGCCACATCCGCATCCACTCCAAGGTGGCTTACACGTGTGCCGCATTTGATAAAAGCGGCACACAAGATAACAAGGGGCATCGTGTGTTGTTGGACTTAATTTGCAACGCTGACATTAATCAATTGCAGCGTGGGCTTGGCCCAGCGGGTTGCGATGCTGCAGTGGCCAGCAGTTGGCCATAAATTAGCGTGCCACAAACACAGCCAGGGACACCTGTTGGTGGCCACTTCCGATTCGGGCTGCCTTTTGAATATGATTTGCGGCGAACATCGATATGCTCTTTAGATTAAGCCATTGCATTTCGCCCCGCCCCGCCATAAATCATTCGCAAATTGCCAAGTTCATGCTCGGGTCCTTGTCAGACACTTGTTGCCATTAACGGCAGCACTAAGCCAACCCAGACACCCAGACACTTCTTGGCCCACAGAAATATTTATTTGTTAACGCGCCGTGCTATTGACACACCACATCACACACGTACGCCCGCCATTTATTATCGCGCCGGAAGTCGCCTGTCACCCGGCACTTGGCATCTTGGCCAAAAGTGTTGACAGCCGCAAATCAAATTGTCATTAAATTTTCATTTTCAGCAGAAGCCTCTGGGCACGTCTCCAGAAAGCAGCCAACTCTGCCACAGGCCGCCAAATAGTGTGGCATCGGTAATTGCAATTAAAACAATTTTCGGGGCGTGTCGCACAGACACTGACAAACTGGGCGGATTTACGTGGGAATTCGGGGGCGGCATTTACAACTTTTCGGTAACTGAAGAACTGAACATTTTTGAAACTTAGTTAAGTTTCAATTTACAAATAATT